CACTGAATTTTAAGGTGATAAAATTTCAGAAAACAGTGGAAGCACAAAAGTTTTGCTGATGTCCAAAAGTGTGCTTCACTGACAGAGGTCATAAATCCCTTAGGGGGAGATGTCCTCACTATACCTGAGGAAAAAGTGCAGCCTTATCTCTGAAGATATAACCTGGCTCACTACACTTACTTCATACACTTGACTTATTTTTTTGGGGGTGGGTGGGAATTTATATCCTTTTGAAGGTTCCCATGTTAACTAAAACTTCATTAAGTAAATTTGTATGCTTTTCCGCCTATTAATCTTTTGTCAGCTTAATTTTCAGACTCTGCCATGAACCCTAAGATGGTCAGGAAAGATTTTTTTTTTCTCCCCTGCACTACTGACATCAAATGTCAAATGTTTCCATAAAGAGCTCTGTCAAACTATTTATCAAAAAGTTTACTGAATGCTTATTTTATATGAGGATGTATTTTACGGATATAAAAAAGTAGTTTCACTGATCCAATAAAAATTTAATTGCTGAAGAATTCAGTTTATATTTAAGTGCTTATGAAATAATAACAAAGGTTGAAAAAATAAATATGAATCAAGAGAGTTTTTAAGGATTCAAATGACAGTGCATTAGGACACAGTAACAATAGGAGAGAACTCTATCTGGTCTGTCCAATATAGTAGTTCCCAGGCATATGGCTTTTTTTTTTTTTTTTTTTTGGCATATGGCTTTTAATCTTAAAATTAAGTATCTAGTTTCTCAGTCACATGCACTATATTTTAAATGCTCAACAGCCATATGTGGGTAGTGGCTAGTACACTGAATAAGACAATAAACAGAACATTTCTATCCCTATAGAAAGTTCTATAAGACAATGCTGATATAATGTCTGAAACTATTACTACTGTTGATCATATTATAACCATCATATCCTTGCTTTCATATAATATCATAGTGATGGAGGCCTAGAGTAAAAATGTCTGGGGAGGCATCACAAGAACAGAATCTGGAGGTAGGGGTAAAAATGATTAACATAGTTACTAAAGCTAGAGAAATAAATACTCCTTAGGCACAGACTGCTATATAGAAAAAGCAGACCAGTACAGAAAGTATCTGGAGGTACAGAGCAGAGTTGGAGATGTGGAGACTCAGGGTCATTATAGAAATTCACAGGTCCTTAGAAATCAACCAATTCACACCTCAGAAGTAATTAATCTAGCAATAGATAATGATTCCACAAAGAAGTGACCCACCCAAAAAAAGACTGTTTTAGTACAATTTCTGCACCTGCACAGGGCAGCTCTCCTGCCCACCTGTGACTATGCAAGTGGCCTCTCTTTTTCTTACTCCTTTTCCTAATAAACCTATTCTTTTAAAAAGTAACCTTTACCTGCTGTGTCTGTGCAAATGTCTTCTACTGAATAAACCTGCCATATCATATGCAAATGAAAGGGGAACGCTGCTGAAACTTAGAAGTAATCCAAGGACTCCCACTCTCACCAAGCCCAAAACCTCTTCAAAGTAACATCAAGATTATCCTAGAACTTGGAAGATATGTCCTAAAAAATGCACTTTCTAGAAATCATAATGTATTTGGAATATAATGCCTAGAAGAGACTAAAGGATATGTTATTACCAAATATATGGGATTTAAGATAGTATGTTTATTTTAGATGTTATCTGTACAAGACACGAAAAGGTAGAAGGCAATTTAAAGGGCAGGGTGTCTGTTATTGAAGATAAAACCACGTCTAAGATTATTTTGTCATGATCATATTACAGACAGATGTTCAGAAAGTGCAGAACTTCTTGGAAAAGACAATGAATTCAGAAAAGGAAGGTTAACTACTTAACTCTAGAAAACTGCAATGAAAAACTTCCTATGAACAGAAAAGCAATTTAGATCTCTGATTAATTTCAATGGGGTCCCAAATTAGCAAACTAAAAACTGCTGACTGATAAGAAAGGAGGGGGACCTTAATTA